CCTTATTCTCTCACGCCTCCCTGCCCGAGGCCACGGTTGCTCAGGTGCGGTGGAGGGGACTGCCGGCTCTTCTAGTCTCGCGTCTGACCCGCGTCGCGGCCCGTGAGCTGGCCGATGTGCTGATGTTGTTGCGTGACTGCCCTGCGACGCCCGCTCCGGATGGGCGTCGGGCCGTCCTATGTAGCGCCCCCCATGGTGCCTTCTCCTCGCGATCGGTGTACGCCTTGTTGCGCTATGTCGGCGTCTCGTCGCCGGCCGTTGGGTTTCTGTGGTGTTCGGCCGCCCCGTCCAGTGTGAAGTTCTTCGCCTGGCTGCTCTCTCTGGCCAGGATCCACACCCGGGACGTCCTTCTCCGCAAAACTATCGTCGACGCCCAGGGGGCTGGCTGCCCGTGCTGCCCGGCCTCCCTGGAAACGGCCGACCATCTCTTCTTCGAGTGCGGGGTGGCCGTGCGTTTCTGGCACTGCATTAGCATCGACCCGCGTGCCGGGAGGTCCCGCGGCCTCCATCTCTTCGACGTCCGGCCGGCCGTTGGGGAGGCCTCCCCGACTGCCTTCTTCCTCCTCTGCATCTGGCACCTCTGGAAATGGAGGAATGCGGTGGTGTTCCGAGGGGAGAACCCCTCTCTGGGGGCTACTCTCAAATGCTGCAGGGATGACGCGGTGCTATGGCGGGGCAGGTTCCGCGAGGAGGACCGTGGACACATTGATGTTTGGCTTCAGGCCCTGGCTGCCCCGCGCGGCTGATCCCCCCCCCCTTATATGATGCAAAAATGTTGTCCTCGCGTGTTGATCTGACCGCACCACCCTGCATCTGCTGACTCGTGGCAATATTAGATTCAGGTGGGGGAGGTCCCCCCCGCCCCGGGGGGTGAAAATTCAAAAAAAAATTAAGGAGGAACACTGGCTTACCTACAGGGCTAAGAGAAAGGAGCTCACTAGACTCCTAGATTGGGTTCAAGCTTTCAGGTAGGGCTTTCAGCAGCTTTGTTTTATTTCCTGCCTATGTTTATTTTGCTCTTTGTACTTTCCTTTTGTTTGTATAGCTTTTTTTTACATTTCCTTGTAACATTTATTTGAAAATTAATTTAAAAATACGCAGCAGAGTCCTATGGTTTCCCTAAAAAAAACTCTCATAATCAAACATTCTAGGAATTTCCCTGCAAAAAGAAACAACCTAGGAGTTATATTTGAGATGTGCATATGTTGGGTTAATCTATTAGACTTTCGGAGTTCCATTCCACACAATGAGGTAATCAAAGGTCGTGCCACTCTAGCAGTAAGAAACTCTATATTAAAGTTGTGTTTCACCTAAGGTCGTCTCCAAGGGTGAAACCCATTCCAGCCCCCTCCACCCCCTCCCATATGCACATGTGAACAGTGCGGACATGTGTGGAAACAGAAACGGCCATCCAACAGCTCCCCCAAACTCGAGACAAAATGTCCGGATAATCTAGAATCCTCCCAAACCCAGCCCATATGTGGAGAGAAATGAGGATATCCGCACATGCCCGTCATATCGGTTCGACACCCGGGTCCATCTAAACAGAACAACCCCCTCCCCCGTTTGGTCCTCATAGTCTCCATTCTATCCTCTCCTTTCCGCTCTGCTCAAACCCTAGATCGATCCGACATCACCATGTTTCAGGAGGGATCGGAGTTGGACAACATCGATTGGGACCAGGGCCGACAATATTTTGGGGCTATAAGACGAAGCCTACAACATGGGCCCTTAAGGTTGTATATATGCATCAACTTCACTTGCAAGGTTCCTGCAAAAAAGCTTCACTTGCAAAGTAAGAGGATAAATGATTGTGGGTCAATGTTATATTAGAACATAAAGACTAACAGAATGCTTAGTTAAAACCTTTAGCAAGATGTATGAGAAACATATACTTGCAATGTATCACTTGCAGAGTTTCTCATATATAAAAAAGTGAAGTTTTCATATATTGTGGAACAATGTATCACTTGCAATGTATCATTTGCAACTTCACTTGCAATGTATCACTTACAAAGTTTCTCATATATAAAAAAGTACAATGTGTATAGAGAATGAAAAAAGTAAGATGCACAAAGGTTTTTTAATACATGAGCAACTTTTTTCATACACATTGTACTTTTTAATATATGAGAAACATCTTCTCTATACACATCTAACATTTTTCAAATGCTTGGTTAACATCTTTTTCCAAACGTTTTATGTAAAGTATTTTTGTCATATATTTATTTAGAATTTTTGCAAGTATAAACAAAAGCAAAAACAAAACAAAGCAAAAAAAACATAAAACATGAAAAAAATGAGGTTGTGTGCTCCCATGCACCTTCGTCGGCCCATCTCGCGCCTCCCATCAGGTGAGGCTTCCATCGGTCAAGCGAGATATAGTGGCGCCCTAAAAAACTAATCAGAGGGCATCACCTCGGGGGGAAATCGAGAGGTCACGTTTGATGGACTGGGAGCATGCAAGTGGTGTGCTCAGCTGCCTGCACGCGTTTATTTTTTTTCTTGCTTTTGCTTGGTTTTCTCGAGGTTTTGACAGGGTTTTTTAGGAAGCAATGCTTTTCTGTGGGAAGCACAATATGTTCTGAAGAAGAAGCATAGTTGGACACAGGTTATGCTTTTTCCTATTCT